GATCTCTTGAGGGAAGCAATATTTGATAGGTGAATGGATAGAAGCCTGAGCTTGTGTATTTGCATACAGGAGGGAAGCAGGGTAATGAGGCAGAAAGTAGAAAATTTAAGGTTTTAAAAATGAAACCTAGAAGATGAAAACTTCATGATATTATCCAGGGAGGCTCATCCTCAAGTCTCACAAAGATTATGATATTGCCAACTAGACTCAACAAAAGAATTGGTCAATTTTGGATAAATGGTCAGATATTATCAAAAAGGGTCATTCTAGAGCTTAACAAAGTTTTCAGAACATCTAGGCTCCTCACTCTATAGGTATAGACATTGAAATCACAGCTTCCCTAAAGTCACATATATGTATATCATCAGTAGATGAGGCAGGGTCCAGAAACGAGGAACCTTGAACCCCCTTTGTGTGCTTTGCTTCCCAACAGAGCATGGAGCATCACAATATGCCACTTTGTAAAGAGAATAGTTGCAATGTTATAAGCAACAAGAATTTTAAAAGATAAACAACATTTTAAAAGATAAACTTGAAACATTTAACTGTTTCAAGTTTCCAGGAGAAAGAGAGAGAGAATACTTCTAAATAAAAGTTTAATTGGGTTAAGGAAGATGAGAACATATGAGATCAGGAAACTATTTACTCTTTCAAAATATAAACAGGCTGCCTTGAACTCTTCAGTTTTTGCCATATCAGGGTTTACTGGTATATAATTACAGGTCCTTGCTAAATGACAATCCATATTTTCTGTTCTAATTTGAGTTGATTCTGTTATGAAGAGGATGTCTCTATCACACAGAAGAAACAGGAAAGACAAATTTTTAAGGTGATTTTTTAAAGCAAATAGTAATCTCAGTTTATGTGTCTTGCTTTTTTGCTTTTTCTCAACTTCATTTAAAAGTAGTGAGAACAAGAACTTTAATTCGATTTATGTATGAAAGCTACTCTTAGGCAAATTGTCTTTGATTATTTTCTTTAGCAATATCAAAATGTGAAGGTTGTTATGGCATATTACACTATGAAACAGTCCACTATATAATGATTAAAATATTCCTACTTTCTCATCATGCTTACAGAGCTTTAAAGCAATTATCTTATTTAGGGCAAGAGATCTAATTGTCTGGGTTGCCATGGACAGAAAGAACAGTTTGGTGATGGAGATTACTACTGAATCATGGTTATATTTTATGTGGGTAATGTGAGCATGTATCATGAAGATAAGTTTTAACATATTTCTATGTAAGAAGATAGTAATTATTTCCTCAATCTCAGCACAATTCCCCTGATAGGGCATTTTCTGATAATTTCTCATTTAAAGTTTGCAGGCATAATGATGCGTGGATATGGCCATGTCACCTCTTTTTAAATGTTCGTCAAATATCTGTCTGGCTCCAGTGTCAATGTTGTGTTTGAAACCTGCACAGCCATGTTTATATCATCCTATCTTTATAGTTCAGAGCAGAGAAATTCATGGTTCTGATTCACAGGTATTACTGTTTTGGTACAATGTTCAAATAATGGTCCACTAAAAATCTTCTTGCAACAGAAAGAAGTCCACTCTCCTACTATCAAGGTCATTACTGAAATCAATGCCTTCAGTTTAAAAGCACAGAGATGCCATCTAGCAGCCGCCCTCAGAAATTCCCTACACAGTAACAGTCCTTTCCCTATAAAATTGAGCAATAATTAAATTCCTATAAGCTTTCAGTGTTTGAAATCTTGCTTATAGAACAATGATTTTGCATATTGTCTATAATTCAAACACTCCATTACAAATGAAATTAACTGACATCTCTTAAAATAGGCAGTGAAATACATCTGAGTTTTCTAAAAAGAACTGGAAACTTACTAATTATAATTTAATTAAGAAAACGTATTTTACACAAACTTTCTAAAAGCAAAATTGATCATCTGTCCCTACAAAAATACAATTAATTAATTATTGTGAATTGTCTTTCTTTTTGGGAAGAGGATACCAATCTTGGCAATATTTTGATACAGTAAATGAGAGAAAAGAAACTAAGTAAGCTCATCCTATGAACAATGAAACTTGGGCCATTTTATAAACAATATTGACTTTCAAGTAACATATCTTACCATAAGATGGCGATACTTAAGCACTTTATAAAATGCCATATAAGACCTGTAAGCTTCAGTGACAAAAAAAAAAAAACAAAAAAATAAAAACCTCAGCATTATAAATGTAAACATTATATGGTCTTCCATGAAATAGAATTGGCACTGTTGTTAGAAAACCCAGTTGTCTTCAGATAAATTAATATATGAGGTGCTTTCTAAAATTTAGATTTCCAGTATTTGATATATGTGAAATCCCATACCTTAAAAAAAATCCATTCAATTTTAAGAGCTCTTCTATTTTGCCATTTTGTGCTTATCAATGTGATATGTGTGTGTGTGTGTATATATATATATATATATATATATATTTGTTTATAATAAGGCTATTACACCCAAAATCAGTTTTCTAAAACTGGGGCTGAAGTATAGCTAGAACAGACAAAATATGTTAAAACAACCAATAATATAACAATATAGAATAATACTTAAACTAATTTGAAAATTTGATTATGATGTGTCACTTCTAATGTATTAGTATGTAAAAAAGCAGCTGGTTAGCATTTCTGTTCATTTAAGTTTTATCACAAATCTTTTCTTATTTGTTCAAAAACTGTATTTTTATAGTACTATATTATTGGATTTTTAATTTCACCAGATATAATTTGCTTTACGAATCCTGATTTTTAAAATCTAAGCCCTTAAGTGACTAGCAGAATAAAAAAAAATTTTAGAAAATTATTAATATATAAACTAATTGACAATTATTTTGAGGGCACAATGATGCCATCTGTAATTTTTTTGGAGGATGGGCAATATAAACATATAATATAACACAAAAGCAACTTCTCCTCATTTTTAAGCAGTATTTTGTCTAAAAATCCTAAAACTTTTTACAACATTAAAATTACCTGTTTTCAACATTTTAAAATTCTCTCTAATGTTGTCTATGATGTAGAACAAATATCATCTTTTGAAAAAAAAAATCATCGTTTGTTCTTTGTACACTGTATTGCAGTATGTAGAAGCTGAGAAGGATAGTTTGAAAAGTTAATGTATGCCTTCCCTGGATTTTTCAGCTCATTTGTGGCAAATATGCACAGCTCATTCTGAAGAAAGTAAAAAGTTTCATAGCACTGAATACACACAAATAAACTCACCCAAACTAGAAAAGATTATATTGACCAAAAGTACATTGCTTATTTCAAAAATTTTTCTCCATATTTAACAGAAAATTATCTATATGTTTAATTTTGGAAAGAAAGGGGTGTAAAGCAGTGAAGATATTTACGCATCAAAGATACCAGACAAATCAAATCACATATAAAACTGTTAATGAAGCTCTACATTTCTGAATTTATTTTAAAGAATGACAAATAAAACTCAATTTAAGTCAAGTGACTTTTTCTGCAGTAACTTAGTGATTAACTTTGCTTTTAAAAAAATGTTTTACCAAGAATACTCTCAAATGAGATATATAATGGAATGTATTTAAAAGTTTCAAACAATATCATGTAAAAATAGTAGCATTGGATAAAATGTGTCACTACAGGTTGCAGAGTCAGGAAGAAAAAAAATTTAAAACAAAATCAACGCTTTTACTTAAGTGTAAAATGCTTTAAAGTTACATCTTTAAAATATTCTTTTAAGATTATTAAGATGGCATTCACATAGTGTGAAGCTTTTACATCAATAATACCAGTACATTCAAACTTTAAAATAAAATGAGTTTATTCTCATCAGTTCCCTCTAAATATGAAAGAGTACAGATATAATCACAAGTATATATGACATGATTCTAAGTTTTAACTATATACTATATTAGGCCTAGAAATATCACAACCACAGTATTAAGTTATGCTTGGTTACATCTTAGTTCCATTCAGTAATAAAAGGAAACTTAATTTGTCTACACTACACACATGATGTAAAGCTTTAAAAACAACTTTATAATATTCCAAAATATAGCTTTAATTAGTTTTACAGCATGGCATAATTCTTCCTATAGTATCAAATTGCTGTTGACCAGTTAAATAAGTAAAATAATACATTGTATCTCATAGTCTTTTTCACCAGACGGCTTCTCTTATTCCCTCTCATTATGATTTTCTTAGAATGCTGAAGCTTTCAAATTACCTCACTTTGTCATCAAGACTTTTCTCAGACATCGTTGAAAATATTTGTCCATATTTGCCATTGCCAGTACTAAATAATTTTCAAGAGTTCAACATTTATGAGCTAACTCATCCTTCCTATTGCCCTCCTTAGTTTGTTAAGATTCTCACTTCCTGTTTCTTAACAGTGGTAATCAGAACTTCCTCAGTGCCCACGATTTTCTTAAGGAAAAGAAAGAAGCAAACACAAGCTCCTTTCACCAACGCCTCTCAGCCATGGCAGAGAGTATAGCTCTGCTGCTCTGCCGTGTGTGTTATAAGCAGCATCCCAAATGTTTTGGACACAAACCGCAGCACGTCTGCGATGGGAGTATTATTGACCAGGATCAGCTGGAAAACGCTTCCCTGCTTTCAACAAAGAAACGGTTCACCATGTCCTAATACATGTTTATAAATTGCATTGTTTCCACCCGCAAACTCCTTTGAATTACCCGTCCGACTTAAAGAGAGCATGAAGCAGTTGGACACGGAATAAGCTAAATTCCCCGGAGAGCCGCATTGCTCGCTGCCCATGCACATTTTATTTTCTCCTGGTCCCTCCCCCCTCTCAGTAGGACTCTACCTTGAGGAGCTATTCCTCCGGTAGTTCACCTTGTTATCTTCTAAGCAGTGGGGATACGCCAGGCACCATAAGGTAGCTGAAAGAGCTGTCTCTCGTGCCGATTTTGGCATATTTATTTGCATTTTTGGTAGGTTTGTTACATATTGCACGTTTATTTCAAAAGAGACTCAAAATATTGTTCATACCTTGGAAGGGTCTAATCCAGCAAGCAAAGACAGCAGCAGGAGATTGAGAAGGCTGGACGTCGCCCGCATTCTGATCTGGGTTTTTGCCCCCTCTTTACTCTCTTTTATGTAGGCACTCCACTCACTGCAGAGACCTTTCCCTCGTCAGTTGCACTTTCTGCCTGCCAGTCAGAGCAGAGTGGAAGCAGAGGCGGCGGCAGCAGCAGTAGCAATAACAGCAGCAGCGGCAGCGGCGGCAGCCGCCCTGGGGGGCGATCATTCCGCAGGCATTCTCAGAGCTGGGAGTCCGGGAGCTCTAGAGAGTGGGTTGGGCTGCAGTGGGCGCTGGCCGCGGTGCTGAAGCTCCTCCAACCTGCGCGCCCTAGTTTACCCTCTCCCCTGCGGCTATATAGCCAGCCCACCTCAAAAGTTTTGACCCAAGGAATAGATAAAGGGAGTAACTGCTGAAAGAGGTGTAGAGACCTGGACAACGGATATGACATCACTACAGCTCCTGGGGGTTTCGGGGGGATATTTTGAGGGGAATTTGTTAAGCAAACAAGGATTGACTCTCGCGCTCCAGTTCCAGTTTGCCGGCAACTTGAGCTGCAGAGAAGTAGAGAGTCAGCTAAATACAGGATTATGAAACAAATAGTGCACTGGAACCTTCTGCTGTCATTGACAGAGGACTTGATATCGTACTTAGTGCTTTAAACAAAGTTTGCAGTGCAGACTATCAGTGTGTGTTTGTCGTCCAAGGCACATGGATTTTCAGCTGTTAGAGATGAATGTGGTAATTTATAGATGTGTGCAATCATTTATGAATAGCTTATTGAAATTGTATGTTTTGATTAGGTATTAATGTATCTATCTCGGGATTTTGATCATCTAAAAACACTGCTTAAAGAGGCTTATATTCTTCTTTTAGTTATAAATGGTATATTCCATTAGTGATTCCCAAACTGAATTATCCTCACCTCCCCCCCCATACACACAGCCATACCTAGAAACATAGTTTTTCTGTCTGTCTGACTTGTGCTTTTACTTGAGGAAGAATTCACTGATAGATGGATAGTGGGATGGGAAAAGTGATTATTTCTAAGCTTTCAAATACTTCTGTAATCTAGGGCTCAAGAAAAGGTAGAATAGTTGCCTCACAAGAGCAAAGAAAGGGTAAATGGCAAACTAACTCTCTTACCCTGCATCATTTAACTTTACTTGAGCAATTTCATTCCTTTGAATATAGAAAAATTGTGTTCTCAGTAATATAAAAAGTTAGGAAGAAGTTGGCAGCCACTCTGAAACATCCCTCTCGTACAGTTATGCCTTTAGTATTTCCATCTTCTGTTGATTTTTCTAAAAATTATGCTTTCTAAGGGTTAAAATGTATAAACTGGAGCTGTGGACATTGCTTTCTTTTACTTCCACATTTTAAATACAATAAATTGAGATATCAGACACATACCGAGTACAAAATCTCCATCAAACTTTCACTGAAAATTCATCCTATTTTTAAATATAAGAAATCTCAATTAGGACTCAAATACATTTGAAAGTCATTGTCCCAAAGAATTTACACCATATTGCATCTTTTCTTATCCTAATATTATAAATGTGTGTATAGTTACTCGAGGTCTTTATTTCCTATAAACATAAATGGCATGAAGTTCACTGTATCTGAAAATTCTTTTTGAAAAAATGGATCATGCATAAAATAGAGATTGTAAAATCATAGAAACGAAGTTAAATTTCTTATGATGCTGTTAATTTAATGATAACCTTAACAGTCATAATCATATTTAGAAGTTCCCATTATTTTCTAGCAGAAAAAGAAGAAGAACTTTTTTTGGGGGGGGCGGTAATAGATACAACTACAGAGTTGTACCACTCTTTGGGATAACTTCCTAGAACATATTTGTCAAAGAGTGTTTTTCTTTTTACATTTGTTTCTTAACCTAAACTTTTTCTACCTATCTACAGCTACATATTTATCTATCTATGTAGCATAAAATCAGCATAATTTTTCAGTAAATCACACATAGAAATTATTGAAAATTCTGTATCCATTTTAAAATATTTCACATGACTATTGAGATTGTAAATGAATTTGCAGAGGTGTTGTGACTGAATGATTATAATAGTGTATGTTTATTATCCATTCTCTAAATACATTTTTTGTTATTTGTATTTACACATGCTTTTCCCTCTTCCTAAGATGTCTTTTACCATTTTATTTTTTACATCTCTGCCTCTCAATTAGCAGGCAGTGCCTCATATTTGTTTGAGTGGAGGTAGCTGTATTTAACAGATACACACAGTAATATGAAAATATAATCAAATCAATTTGATCACTTCAAGATGAACAGGTATTCTTATAATGTAAATACTGTGGTTTTTTCTGGAAACAGAATTATTATGATCTCATACATGGTTTACAATATTAGTGACTGGAACAAAACTTTCATGTGGGCAATTTTTTTTTCTTTAACTCTCCTTTAATATGGTATTGAAATGTCATTTGTAACAAGAAGTTAAGAAGAAGACAAATTCTATGAAATCTTGTCAGAAAAATGTGATGGAAGATGATAATATTTAAAGATACAAAATAAGTAATATATGGTAATGATGTTACAAACGAAAACAGATGGTCTTAGCATACTTACAACATATTTTCCTTAAGAGAAGCTTAGTCATTTGTAAAGAATAATCAAGTTCAGTAATAAATCAAAGCTGTTTTAATATGCCACTACCAAACAAAAGCTTTAATCTAAAGAGTACAAATTCACCAATACCCTACCATTCCTTTATCTCTCTTCTAAAATAAAGCAATATAGCTGCATAGCCTCTCTTAAAGATAACTATTGATTTTAGTCGGTCATTTGTTTTGTAACAAAACCCTCTTATAGTATATTTTCATACAATCCATTTGACAACATTGTAGGTGATATCATATCTTATTTGTACATTGCAATCTAGGGAGCATTTCTCATTGCAAGAAAAAAAGTCCAAGTAGTTCTTTGTATTGTGTGTATTTCGTTAGCTAGTCAAAAGAGTTCTTCTAAAAGTAATAAATGTGCATCTTTCTGCTTTTGTTTTCACTGTCACTTCAGATTGGTAACTGTCATTAAAATTATACAATATAATTCATAACATAGATTTAAAAATCTTGCAATTTTGAACACATGGATAAGAAAGTATTTGATATTTATATGTCTAGCCAAATTTGGCCTTCTATGCCTACAATGGGTACAAAATTACTCTGAATTTTATAAAGCATTGCAAAAATTTTAGCCAGTAGTATCTACAGAGGTATTCATAAAAATAAGCTTATATGAAGTTGTGGTACAATACAACACCTAGAACAAATGATAAAAATTTTAAAACGTTTGTGCCCAATATTACAAAAGTTCTTAATTCTATATTTCATCATAGTGTTAGGTAAATGCTTTATACATTTTAGTTTTCTTTTGATAAGAGGCTGTATGATATACAGCTGACCTTTGAATAATGTAGGCATTAAAAATGTTGAACTTCTGCATAGCTGAAAATTTACAAATAATTTTTGATTCCCCCAATTTTAACTACTAAGAGCCTACTCTTGACCCAAAAGCTTACTGATAACATAAACAGTTAATGTCTATTTTGTGTGTTATATGCATTATATACTGCATTTTTATAATAAAACTAGAGAAAAAATATCATTAAGAAAATCATGATAAAATATATTTACCATTTATTAAGTGAAATCGAATAGTCATCAACATCCTCATCTTTGTCACCATTATGTGGAGTAGACTGAGGAGAATGAGTCTGTTCAACTCAGGGGTGACAGAGGCAGAAAAGATGTAAGAGATAGGAAGGGAGACAGGAGATGCAGGCACTGTTAGTGTAAGTTTACAGAAATATGTCATAATTTCTGTCTGACTTTTTACTTTTTTATTTCTCATGTTTATTTTTTATAGGTTGACTATGCAGTACTGATCTTTCATCATTTGCTTTAATTTCATTGCCCATATCATAGAAGGGTCCATGTCACAAAAGAAGTCAAAAGTAGTCTTGAATAATTGGAATCCTTCTGCTAGATTGTCTAATGTCAATCTATTTTCTGGCACTGTTTCTTCTATGTCTTCCTCCTCATTGCCTTGGCACTGGTTTGCAGGGACTCATCTCCATCAAGTTACCTTCTTTTAATTCCTCGGTTGTGGTACCTGTTAACTATTGAACTTCTCTAAGATCCACACCTTGAATCTTTTTACCCCTTACTTTTTTTTTTCCCTCACATCTACAGTATCTTTCATGGTTTCCTTAATTGACTTGGTTGTAAATCCTGTGAAGTCATGAACCGCATCTGAACACAGTATTTGTGCTTGATGGCCTTCACAGCTTTTTCTATAACAATGGCATCTTTAAAGGTGTAAGCCTTCTAAACTTTGATCAAGTTCTCCTTATCAAAGTTCTCTTCAATAATGTTGGTAATCCTTCCTATAGAGAGTGTGTGTAATGGGGCCTTAAACGTCCTTATGATCCCCTAATCTAGTGGCTGAAAAAGAGACATGTTTGGGAGCAAATGGACCACTTGGATGTTTTCAGTGTTAAACTTTTGGGGTTCTGGGTTACCAGAGACATTGTTCGATATCAAGAGAACTTTTAAAAAACCAGTCCCTTACTGACAAGGTATTTCCTTTCTTCAGGGGCAAGACATCAATGGAACCAATCCAGAAAAGGGGTTCTCATTGCCCAGGTTCTCTTAGCATACAATGAAAAGACAGGCAGCTGGTGTTCATGTTTTCCATTCAAGGCTATGTGGTTAACAGCTTTATAGATAAGAGGAGTCCTGATCATAAGCCCGACTGCATTTGCACACAATGGTAGAGTTAGCTTATCCGTTCCTGCCTTAAATCTCAGTGCTCCCTTCCCTTCCTTATTAATAAATGATTAATACTTTATGGCTTCCCCCCCAGAATAGGACACTTTTGTCTGTGTTAAAAACTGGTTCAGGAAGATATCTTTTCTCTCTATAATTTTCTTAAGGGTGCCTGGAAATTTGTCTGTTGCTTCTTGGTCAACAGAAGCTGCTTCTCTTATTATCTTGACTTTTTTTTTTTTTCAAGCCAAATCTCTTTCAAAAATTATCAAACCATCTTTTGCTAGCATTATATTCTTCAGCTTTAGGTCCTTCATCTTTCTTTTGCTTCAAGCTGTTGTATAATAACTTCACTTTTTCTGGAATCACATTAGAGTGTATTGGTATGCCTTTCTTACAGGAATCCTTACATGTACATAAAAGGTCTTTTGCAAAATATGTACTTTCTGGCATAGCTGGAATGATGGCTTCACACATTGCCTTTTCTTGTTTTTGTAGTGGTCCTTACACAGAATTCATTTATGTTAAAATAATGGGCAGCCACTGCCTCAGGCCTCAATCTGTGGCACAACTTTCTCTTGTAGTGTCATGAATTTTCTCTTCTTCTTGGAAGGACTTCCAGCATTGCTAGAGCCACTGC